CAGCGTAGTCATTTCCCTTTCTCTGTAGATACTCCCTGGCACTGGGACACCACCTGGGGTTGGTGATCAAGAGCTCCCACATGCTGTAAGTGCTTATCTCTGAGAGGTTGTTTGTGGGTTAACCTGCTCCTCTAGGAAAGCCTTGCTGTCTCCTCACCATGCTGTTTCCTACCATGCTTACTTAAGCCACTCTGCATTCTTTTCTGACCTATTGTTTTGCATATGGTTTTGTGTGTACCAGCATGTGTCTACCAGGAATTGTTTCTGAGGACAGGAGAAGGGAGGGGAGAGGAGGAAAGGAGCACTTTGTTTTTTCTCCTGGGACATTTTTCTCCTGCTGTTTGTTTTGGGGTTTCATTAAGTATTCACTCTGGGTTGTAATTCCATCCACAGTCAGATGACATGGTTGTGGCTGGCAAAATTGGAAGCTGATGATGGCTAGTTCCAAGCTTTTCCACAAGGGAGTGTTGAGTTGGGACTGTCCCAGCTGGTCCAAATGTTGTGAGTACAGTCATTTCTGACCCCCCTGTCACCGTAGATTTTTCTGTCCTCTTTTTGTCATCTCACAGAATTTGGGATGGGGATATCTAAACAGGCTGAATGCTACCCATCATTTAAAATGTCCCGTCGTCCTTTCTCACCCACATTTCTCCTTGTGCATCACAGCTTTCATTTCTTCCTTGCTTCTGGGACAGTCATCTCATTTCTTCCTTAAATTTCCATGGTCCTGCTTCCAGCCCATTAGCTGTCCCACCAGCATCTTCCCAGGGCTGTGCCTGTGACTGCTTTTTTCTCAAAGTCCCTTCCAACATTACCTCTAAAATCATCCAGAAGTCGTTCTCACAGAGAGATTGCTCCACCAAGACCAGAGTGTGGAGAGCAGGTCCCTTTAATCAGTCACATTCTGATGAATCCTAGTGTTTTTAGTGAGCACCAACCTCTGTTTACTAGTGACATTTATAACCTGACATCTTGTTTTATCATTCATAAAAGGACGGCCTTTGCTCAGGTTTCCTTGTGACAGTGTAGGCTGCACAGGGCATGTGGGCCTCCCTGATGGGTGTGTCCTTTGCCTAGCCTGGACCAAGCACTCTGTTTCCATGTGAAGGGTCACTCTATGGTGAGCTGCACCTGCTTTCCTTCCTCGTCAGTTACCTCCCTAGCTAAGCCCCTTGAGTTCCAGGCTGACTAGGGTGACACTGCCTCTCTGAGGGCTGCTTTGAGTGTAAGGAGTTATAGTGTTCAAACATCTCAGATTCATATGTCTCAGGCTATGTTGGGCTTCCCCCCACCCCCCAGCCATTCCCTAAGGGCAGCGAAAGTGCTCAGATCTTGGAAGAGCTCCTTAAGACAAGACTAGGACTCTGCTAGTGAAGGAGAGCCTCTTCAGGAAGCATCCAGTGCAGCACAAATACTAAAATTGGAAAGACACAGCGAAGAGTAGCTCAACCCCTGTGCAAAGAAGCTTCTCATGTCACTCTGCCTACCCTCCAGGAACGTGCTTTCTCTGCAAAGACTAGGAGCAGAGGCAGAGTGAGTTAGTGACCAGTGTCAGTCATGTGTGACAGGTATGGTCATGATTGTCCAGAGCTGCTGCAGTGCACCAGGACTTCGATGCCTAGACAGCCCAGAGGATGCACGTGACAAGGGGTGAGCTTTCCATAGTTCCTGTACATAGATGCGCTAATGGCTTCTGCATCGGAAATTCCTTCAGTCCCAGTAAAAATGGCCAGAAGTTCTTTGTTTTCTTCCTCTGAGGTCCACATTGGCCAGTCGGTTGCTCTAGGATTTGTCTTAGGTCTCAAGGTCTTCAGTCCTTCTGCCTACTCCTGGGGCAGGCTGTGGTAAAGCCAGAATGTGTCTCTGAGCCACGCTGGTGAGAATGGAAGTCAGTGTACTGGAAGGAGCCTGGTGCATTGAGCTTTCAAGTCAAGTCAAAGTTCCATTTCCACTACAGCACAGACTTCTTTATTACATAATCTTGGGGTAAAGTTTTTAACCTTTTGTTTGTTTTGTTTTTGAGACTAGGTCTTATGTAGCCCAGGTTGGCCTCAAGCTTGCTGAGGCCCACTGTGAACGCCTGATCCTCCTGCTCCCACTCTCAAGGGCTGGCATTATAGGTGGATGTTACTATGCCTGACCTGTTTCTAACCTTTGTATAGTACTGTTTCTTCATCTAAAAGTGGAGCAATTCTACATAACGCTGGGCAGTGATTAGACACAAACTATTGTCCAAGTAATGCTATACAGTTAAAACTACTCAGGAAATGGTGCTGCTGTGTGGCTGTCACCCTTGATGCTCTCAACAGAAGTACACCTTGCGGTCATGAAGATGAGGTCTTCCCCACCTTCATAGCCATGTCAGCACCACAGTGCTGCCACCATGCATCTAGGCAGCTATTCAGCTCTGAGCCTCATCCCCTGTTCTCCTCATTTATAGAATCAGGGTGTACTGGGTAGTTATTGTCAACTCGACACAACCTAGAGTCACCTTGAAAGAAAGAACCTAAATTGAAGAATTTCCCAGATCAGATTGGCCTGTGGCCATGTCTGTGAAGAACTGTCTTGGTTGATGGTAGTTATGGGGCATCTCCATCCTTGGACAGTGGGCCCAAGCTGTATAAGGAAGCCTAGCTGAGCAGAAGCCAGAAAGTGAGTTAGTCAGTAGCATTTCTCCATGGTTTCTGCTTCAGATTCTTGCCTTGAGTTCCTGCCCTGACTTCCCTCAGTGATGGACTGTTACTAGGAAGTATAAGCTGAAATAAACCCTTCCTCCCCAAATTACTCTTGGTCAGAATATTTTATCCCAGCAATAGAAAAGCAAACTATAACACAGACTGACATGGTTTTACTGTTGGGATGATGGAGCATTCTGTCCTTGACTCACTAGGGCTCTGCTTTACTGTCCTGGGACCCATTGCCGTTCCCTGGGGCTGTCATCAGGGTCTTTCCCCTGTCTCTCAGGGCTTCCTCCTAAAGCAGGAGGGACCCTGTGGCTCTACCTTGTGGTCTGTGTCTACTCTGCCCTGTGGCCGGTGTCCAGGAGGCCAGCCAAGTCACCACTAAGGCTTCCAGGCAAGCAGACCAGATTCTCAGCATCAACCCTGATTTCTAGGATTTGCTTTTGTCATTGTTTATAGGTGCAGGAAGGAAAGCAGCCTCCTTACTCCTCAAGTGGGGGGTGCCAGTGTGACATTGGCAAGTATGGAGTCTTCATTTGCCTGTGTAGACTCGCCTTCCCAAACCCCGTTCCTGTGGGCCAGAGCATCCTGGCACTCTATACTGTCAGCAGCTCGATTCTTATTTGCTGTAACTTTTTGCTTTTTTCTGTTCTAGAAAAGTCACACAGAATGAAAATTAAGGTTTTGTTTCTGCATCACAAAGGAAAATAGAAGGAACAAATGAATTGGTTTTTCTTGAATTACAAGCTATGATTTCTTCATAAACTATTTTAGAGAAAGAGTATTGCTTCCACAAACACCCTTGATTGTTTGCCAAATGCCAAGCCCTGTGTAGTTATTACAGGCTGAGATGCCTAATCTGTGGTCCCTGCCATCAGAGGACTTCTAGGAGTAACTGGGCTCCAGGGAGTTTTGCTGCCCTGCAGCTAATCAGGCAAGGAAAGATAGCCGAAGGCCAAAGGGAGTGCCCGGTATTCTTAAGTAGCTGTGGATGTTATTGACTGTGCATTCCTACCCACACTCAGGGCCCAGCCCAGGTCCCCCCTTTCAGGAAGTCTTCCATGACTGCTTCAAGCTGTGGCGAGTTTCCTGCTCTCTAGACTCTGGATTCCTGGTGTCTTTAAGATATTTCCTGCAGGTAATCACCTCAATATCACAGCCTCATGAGGCACACAATACCCTCCGTACTTCAATAAGTGAAGCAACTGAGACTCAGAGAAGTAAGACAATTTTCCCCAGGGTCACAGGTTAATCTGAGTCAAAGCTAGAATTTGAACTCAGCTCTGATTCCCAAACCAGGCCTTTTCCTTGATTGCAGGTACTCACTTCTCCTTTACCACCCAGTCCCAAATCCCATGTCTGGAATCTGTGCACCCTTTCTTCTATCTCATGCTTCAGCACCAGCCTCTTCTCTGTAGTGACCTGCCCATCCCTTTTTGAGGTTCAGCTAAGTGAAGCATGGAGAGTGAACTTGTTCTGCCTCCCCCGCCCACTCTGGGCTGCCTGAATTGCTGCCCTTCTCCTCTTCCCACCCCCTAGTCATCTGCAGACAGGAAAAGCCAGCAGTATTCACCATCTGTGCACTGGAAGACTGAATACATAGGGCCCCCTCCTCTGCTAGACGGTGGGTACAGTTTCTCTGTGGGTCAGCATCTTGTCATAGACATGGATTTGCAGGATGTACTTGTCCAGGCCTCAGCAGTTTCTCAGCATTTGAAACCTGTACCTCAAAATGAAAGCACTTGCAAGTGTTTAGATTCTTAGGCATCCACCACATTGCGTGTCATTCATGCCAGACACTAGGAGGTAAACACATCCCGACAACTGGCCTAGATGGGGGCATATAGGCACCTGGTTTTGAACTTCTACATTTAGAAGTGGAGGGGCCTGATGGTTGCAAAAGGTAACTTCCTATCACTCAGCGACCATAATAACAAGCTGGTGTCCTCTGTGTTGTCTTCTTTATTTTCTGTTAATGGCCAACCCTTCCAGGATGTGGGCCTGTGTCTAATTTTTATTTCATTTTTAAATATTTTTGGTCTTTTTGAGACAGGGTCTCTCTGTAAGATGGCTGGCCTGGAACTTGCTATGTAGGCCAGGTTGGCCTTAAACTCACAGAGATTTGCCTGCCTCTGCCTCCCAAGTGCTGGGATCAAAGGCATATGCCACCATACCTGGCAATTTGTTTTGACACAGAGTTTTATAACTTAGCCTAGACTGGCCTGGAACTCTTGATTCCTCTGCCTCAGCCTCCTAAGTAGCTGGCACTACAGTGCTACCGTACCTACCCTTATCGTCTTTCTAAAATTATTCCTCCAGAGATCCTGCAGATCGTTCAGCTGGACCTTGACCTGAAGTATAAGACCAACATCCGAGAACTGTTTGAGGAGTTTGACAACTTCCTGCCTGGTGCTATCATTGGCATAGCCAGAGAGATGCAGCCAGTGTACAGGTAGGTAGTGGCTGTCAAGGTGTCCTGAGGACCCCCTTCCCATCCTGTTCTCTCTTCTGCCACTCATGGCTTCTTGGGTGCAGCAGTGTGTGGTCTTTCTGCACTTGCCCCTCAGAAGCATGCTTAAGCTTGCAGCTTATAGGTGATGGCACTGCTGGCAGGGTTTCTGCTCCAGAGCCAGAGAAGCTACCTCCCTAGGGTAGGGGAGTTTTTCTTTGAGAAAGCCCAGTTGTTTGGGTATTGGCTGTGGTTAAGCTCAGAGTGTCTGGTACTAGATGTCAGGATTTACCCTCCATCCTTAGTGACCAGCAGGATTTTCTTGGCCTCGTGTCTCTGTGACTCCGGCAGACTATGGTGGGCAAGGAACAACATCTTAGGTCAGAGACGAACACGCACTGATCAGAGAGAAGAGCCACTTTCTTCCCCAGGCAGTGTTTCCTTCTCAATTCCGTATCACACAGAAGCTCTTTGACACCTGGAGCAAGGAGATGTTTTCAAGAACGCTCTCTGCAGCATCCTGCATAGTAGCCCTAAACTGAAAACACCTAAGTACCCTTGACAGCAGGATGGTTAAATACAGTGCATTTGTCCAGTGAAATACATATAGTAGCTGCACGTGATGAAGACAAAACTAAATGGTCATCTTTAGTGATGCAAAAACAAGTGCTCAAAATCACAAAGAAAACCAAGGAGATGCTCCCCAAAGTCAGCAGGGGGCTGAGGACAGAAGGGAAATGTGTTTTATCTTGCTCCCCTCCCTATGTGGTTATGTACATGTTGCATACATTGTTTTTTTTAAACTTTTTTATTACTATTTTTATTTTATGTGTGTGGGTATAATGCCTGCTTGTAGGTAGATGCACCCATGTTGTGCACTGCCCGAGGAGGTCAAAAGATGGCATTGGATCTCTTGGAACTGGAGTTACAGTCAGTTGTCAGCCACCATGTAGGTGCTAGGAATTGAACCCGGGTCCCCTGTAAGAGCAGCTAGTGCTCTTAACCACTGAGCCATCTCTCCAGCCCCTGCGTACATTGTTGTGTGTGTGCATGTGTGTGTGTGTGTGTGTGAGAGAGAGAGAGAGAGAGAGAGAGAGAGAGAGAGAGCTCTAAGGAGTTCCATGTTGCTGACTCATCTTTCCCAATGCCAGCTGACCAAGTTTGCCCAGGAAGAGCTAGGATTTCTCTGTCCCTGGGTTCTTTGTTCTCTGTGTAGACCCTAGTGCTGGCTCTCTGCAGAAATTCTGTAGCTAGACCCAATCAGAGAACTGCTGGGCCTTGACATTTTGTGACTGGAAGTATGTGTTTTCCCTTTGGAGGGAGGGGAAGAGACAGCCTGGGTTTGGTGGTAGCTCTTTGCAAGTCTCAGATCACATAACAGGAAATTCCTGCAAGGCCTAAAATGAATGAGCTGATAACTCCTGGAGGCCTTGTGGGCTGTTTCCTTTACATAATCCTGGCCTCTGGGGTGGGCTCCTACTTGCTTAGCCAGGAGGGCTAGGCAAACCTGCCATCTTGACTACAGCAGACTGCCACCTCATCCTCTCACCTTCCTAGAAGTTGTGCCTTGTGGTAGGACCTTTGACTCTACAAGGGAGGGGACAGAGACATTAAATGTAAAATCCTGGGTTTTAGTCCCAGCTCTGCTGCCACACCTGGGGCCTTGATGCCCTTCTAAGAAGGGGAACAGGTGAGCTCCAGGCCTCCTCCCCTATCTCCCACTTTGGCCTTCACAGCTTTTCCAACCTTGCTTGTCCTCCTTCCATTGGGAGCTGCTGTGTGCAGTGAGTTCCCTCCAGCTTAGGAGGCCAGAGCCCAGACATTCAGACTGTGCTGGTCATCAGGTACTGTTGTAGCAGAAATGCCTGCAAGTCAGGTTTTGAATCTCCTCCTAGAATACATGGAAAGCTCGTCACACTTAATGTAGGTAATCTTGGCCAGAATTTATACTTTCTGTAGAACTAGGCTTTTATAATGGTAGAACCTAAATCAATTTAATTTTCTGGCCTTTCTAAAAGAAGCTTCTGAAAAATAGTAGATTCAAATGAAGTTGAGTTTTCTTTACAATCTGAGTCTCTATCATTATGTAAATGAGGATCAGGAGAGTCTGCTACTGGTAAGAGTCTAAGAAAGCTACCTGCAGGCCAGCTAGACACCTGGGCACTCAGTCAGTAGCCACTGACTACCAACCCACCATGAAATGTCATGATAAATGAAGCCTGCAAATGATCACCCCACACTCCGCCAGTGATCACGTTTTACAGTGTGTACTTTTAGTATTTTCTGGACTGAGAATGGCCTAGCTGGTGGCAGAGGAGGAATACAATGCCTTTTTTTTTGCCTTCTTCCATAAGAAAACCAGAGTGCTGGGTGACCTGGACGATTGATATTGTTCCCTGCTTTGAAGTCTTCACCTGGCTGGGAGCCAGGGATGGAGGCTGGGGGTAGGTGATGGGAGAAAACAGTGGGAAGGCAAGGGAGAGAGTGAGTGGTGCTCATTGGAAGACTGGTGGAACTGACCCTTTTGGGTGGGCGTTCTCAGTCCCCTGCTTCCCAAGACATGTCTAACACAGTTTATGGGGGTCCACGGCCCAGGCATCAGCCCTGACTACTGCCTGCAGAGCTCCTCCCCCACGATAACTGCTGCTCCAGGGCCTCCTCAAGTGGCTAAATGTGACGTGGACAAGTTATTTATTTATTTATTTTTTTGTCAGTGGAGCCTGATAGAGTCCTCAGTAAGAAAGAGAAAGAGGAACAAAATACAGCAGATTGATGTACAACATGACTTGGTTAAGCGAGTGCCTGGGTCTGGAATTTCACTGAGCAAGAACAGGTTTGGGTCTCCCCAGCAGTGTGATTTTTATAGTCATTCATCACACAGTTGCTGTACTTCAAAGGGCACACAGCGAGCGAGCCATGTTATGGCGGTGTCCCCTCTATTGTGAGTCATGAATGTTCCAAGCTTGCAGGAAGATTGAAAGAAGTCTTGCCCATAGTCCATTTAATTAATGGCTTTTTCACAATTTCTTTTTCCCCAAACATGTATCATATTGTCTGTGTTTTCTGGACAATGATGCAGGACCTTGAGATGTTGGAGTATAGACAGAGGATGCTTACTTCCTTGAATCCCTGTTAGATTCCCTGGGGTTGAAATTCTCTTGGTCTTCCTCATTTGAAAATCGAGGTACTTGGTCCTCTTGGGTAAAATGCCACCCTTTCTTCCTTGATCTTTTCTGTGCATCTTTGTCAGGAAGTAGATCCTTAGTTAGCTCTTCGATACAGCTCTGTCTGATTGGAATAAGTGGCCAAAGGGAGAGAGAACCCTAAGGCCTGGTCTGTAAATCCACATTTATAGTTTGCAAACATGTGCCATGTGGGCTTGCTTCCTGCAAGTGTGTTAGAATGTCAGGAAAACTGTTGGGCCTTTTTAATGTGCATCTTGTAAAATTTAGTTATTAAGCCATACTTGCAGGTAAAGTGACTAATGTAGAAATTTTGGACTCAGAATTAACCCTAGGATATGCTATAAATCACAGAATTCTGTGTGCTTTTTCTTGTATGTACAGGGATATCTATCTATCTATCTATCTATCTATCTATCTATCTATCTATCTATCTATCTATATCTATCATCTATCTCTGTCTATCTATCTATCCTCTCTCTCTCTCTTTCTCTCATCTATCTGTCTGTCTGACATCTTTGTATCCATCTATCTATTTGTCCTCATGGACTTTTACTTCACCTGGTGTCACCTAAGATAGGAGGACATCAGTGACATGGAACTTTAGATTAGCAACAGATACTATTTTGTGTGCACATACTTACACTAAACAGTTATTTGTTGTTTATCTGAAAGTTATATTCAATAAAGGTATCTTGTTTGTTTTTCCTAAATCTGGCAGCCCTTCCTCCATCCAATTTGAAAAGCTTCCTTTTTAGCAATAAAGGTAGTGAAGTGGCTTTCCTTCAGGAGCCTGAGTGAGCTGGAACAAGGGGTAGGGACGTGAACTATTTAGGGAAACCTGGGCTAGAGTGAATGTGGGGCTCTACCTCAAAGTACCCATAAGGCTTCAGCCTGAGGCAGACCACCCTGGAGGAGCTAGAAGCCAAGCCGCCTGGGTCATGTAGGAGGCTGCAGTGCCAGGCAGCCTGGCACTGGTTTGGCGTGAGCTCAGGCTCCTGCTGACCCTGAAGATTGACAGAAAGGAGGATTCTGGGTGGCAGCTGAGGGTCACAGTCATTTTGCCCTGGAGCTGGCTGCCGAAGGAGCCCCTGAATAGCAGCTTTGTTGGTGGGGGCCACTGCTTCTGGTGTGTTCCCTTGTTCTGCAGGCCCCTGTGAGCTGGAGTGAGCCCAGACACATCAGGAGGCTGAGGCCAGAGCAGCAGGCAGATCCTGTCAGCTGCTGCTCCCTCACCAGCAGCCAGAAATTTGCTTTTGTGCTGAGTATTTTCAGTGTCCACTTCTTTAGCTTCTTAGGTCACATGGCTGCTTTATCGCCAGCCCTGTGCTAGCCTAGTCTCCTTCCAGCTGCTGAGATGAGCATGTCTGCCCAGCTTTTCTGGAGTTGCCTCATCTCTTTCCTGACACTGGCACAGGGCTGTCAGGAGCACTGGGGAGAATGGGAGGATGTGGACTGACTCCCACTGCTGCTGCTCTGCTCTCATCCTGAGTCATCATTAGGTAACTGCTCTGAGCATTAGTTTCTTTAGGTGGGATGTGGATATTATTACACTATTTGCAACAGTTGGTGGGGGTTAAATTAGATGGTATGTTTGTAGTCTTGCACAGAGCAGCATGAAGTAATGCTGGTGACTGTGTTGCCCTGAGTCCCAGTTCACCCACTGACGAGTTCTGTGATGCTAGGGCAGTCACTTAACCCCTGAGCCTCAGTTTCTTCTACATAAAGTTGGGACTATAGGGAGCAAGTAGTGTTGATCTTTGGGTTTGTCAGTACCTGAGCCCCACCTCTGTGCTTGATCCTGTCCCTACCTGCCTGTAAGCCT